CTAAAGTGTCAAAGCTGGCCTTTTAGTCCCTCAGAGTGCGGACTGTCTGGTCCATTGACCTGAAAAATAGGCCTCACAGATGGAGGGTTTCATTCAGCTCTTATCAACAGATAGTCCAAAAAAATGCATCTAATAAAAATGTGGTGATGCTGAGGGGTTTGCTTTTTTCTGATATCTGCAGCTGAAGCTACCTGAGGCATTACAAAGCTTGTTGCAACTTAACTGTGTTGGTTAAGAAGCTGCTGCTGAAAAAAAAAAGCTCTTATAAAGTGCAGATTATCGACTGAGCCCACACCAGTGCAGCTATAGTTAGAAATCTAGTTAGCAGGGATCATGTTTGAGCTCAACATCAAAGCCGTCTATTTAAAGCTCCTGTGAAGAGTTCATTGATGTTAATTGAGTATGATACCATAATGTTTCTTCATACTGGTTTTATACTGTCTGTGTCAGTGTGAAAGTGGCGACATCTTTGCATTCATTGTAGAAATCCAGTGCAACAACACTCTGAGTTTTTGATCTTTTTTTTTTTTTGTTATTTATCAGCGCTGGCTTTTTGAAAAGTGATAATTTCCTCCATCGCTAAATTTTATGTAATCACTTCTTCTGTTCATTTGATGACTAATTTGAGAGGCATTCACTGTTTTCAAGAGCTTCGAACACGAGGCCCCTGCTCTTTACATCATAAGTGGCTCATTCGGCGAGGATGATAGATTCTCTGACTTGTTCCGCTTCCACAAGTCGTACTTTGTTGTCCTTAAATATTCTATATTCAATAAACGGTTTCATTTAGGAGTGCTTAGAGGCTCTTATGGCTCTCTCTTCACTTCTATGCTCTTAAATTATTCCTTGATCAGCTCAATTACATTTGATTTTGCCATCATCTCTCTGCTTGCAGCTGTTGGGGGAAAAAATCGACACCCTGAATGTGATGCTCCTCTGCTGTAAGATCAGTAGTAGGGTAATGACTGAGCCAAAAACAAGCCGGTCCTGTAGTTTAGGCAGGTGTCAAGCAGAGTCATCACAAACACAAGTTAAGGCTGCTCTGAGCGGCTTGCCCTTTCAAAAGCATACTGATTAGATCTAGAAAAACCGACAGCTAGACCTTCCAATTAAGCTACATTTGTTCTGTGTGTAAGGCTTAACTGAGTTGTTTGACTTCACAGTGTCGACTGAATGACTGCACTATAATGTTTGCCTAATTAAAGCAACCACTTAACCACAGGAGCTCTGTAAAAAAAAAAAGCACAAAACCACTGCTCCTCATCGGGCACACTCACTCGGCTGAAAAGCCTGGTCTTTGTGTAACATCCGCAATATTGTCGCTTTCTTGAATGTAGCTCAAAGTGCATTAGCTCAGGCAGCTTTTATGGGCCTTAATTGCTCCATTGGGGGGACTTTCTGAAGGAGAGACACCTGTCTAAGGCTGCAACATACAGCAGAAATCAGACAATGCACACATGGTGCCAGGGCTGTTTCTGACCATTTCCGTGCCATGGGCCAGATACCCACATCCCCCACAAGCCCCAACCCCCAAAACATAACGCACATTTGGCATTATGCGTCAGTTTAAATGCCAACCACCCAGGGCTACCGCTAACATTGAGGACATGAAGGTCATGTCGGCAGTGTTTTGTCTGGGATTTTGGAAATTTGACCAACCTGAGGGGACTTGAGTGTTTTGCTAGTTTACCACTTTTAGTCGCAATACTTAAACCAACACACACCTTTAAACAAGTAGGAAGAAAATGGTCCAGGAAGTGTAAACATGTTTTGATTTGAAAGTTTTGCTTTTCATGTAAAGTCGCAAGATGAAAAGAAATTGAAAGTAAGCGACACTGCTGCTTCTGTGTGGTGTTTTCAGTATAAAGCATGTTCTAGTCTGAAGGTATAACACGGATGCTCATCTGAGGCCCGCAGCCACATTACAGATCACTGCGATGGCTCCCCTTTTGGAAAGGAATCATTCACCTAACACTTGCCACACTGACACTGAGGGTGAGAACTTTTTACAGGGTGTTTCCCCACTTTTGGATACAAAGGTGACATACTGCTGGAAAGGAGGTGCTCAGAGATTTCCAAATGTGGCAAATCTGGTTAATCTTTGCACACTTCAAGGATTGGTGCTGTCTGATTGTTTGTTTTCTGCCACTGGATGTGGTTGGGATCTGTATGTATACAGAAGTATGCATAAAACTGTACACTTAGAGTCTAAGATATTTTCATATTCAGTTCTCTTGTCTGAGTAATTCTTTGTTTAATCTTGTCACATATAGTCTTGTTTTTATTTGTATATCATAAAAATGCATTATGATGAATGTCAGTGTATTTCATAAATCCCTGCTACCCTGTTGTAGTGATTCATGTTGGTCCATCACAGACGTCACTGTGATGTCAGCTCTAAAAGGGTCTATAAAAACTCTTTTTCAGGTCTCATAATACGAATGACTTCAAATATATCATATTTGGCTTGTGCAGACATTTATTAAAGCTGCAAGTGTACTTTAATAAGTTCTGTCATTTCAAGGCACACTCAAGATCCTCATGGGTGTCCTTGGAGAGGAAAAAAACATCTGTTAGATACAGTGAGTGATAAAGATATGAAGCACAACAGGTTAAAGGTGTATTTTTATCAGGCAAAGGGTGACCTTTAAAAAAAAAAGAGTGTTTCTTTGGAATTAAAAAGTTTCTTTTTATTAGATTAAAAGACCATGTTGAAGTCCAAATAACAGGGTACACGATGCACAAAATTGCACTCATTTTATTGGACATAGTTAGTCAACATGCTGTCATATCTGTGACTGCTGGTCCTCTGTGACATTGCATTGTTTGCCCAATCCCAAAAACCGCCCTGAGTGCAAACAATATCCACAGTGAGCATCCAAAAAGAGGGCAAGCAGTGCTTTGAGCCACATGAGCGAGAGGGTGCAGCCATGACATGTCACCTCCCAATGCATTGACATTTTGCATGTGCTGTAGCTGGACCAAAAAAAAAAAAAAAAAAAAGCCTGTAGGAGGAACATGTATCTGTGAATATTGAAATGTCACATGAGAAGACGGTGAGTTATTAAGTGAAAAAGGCCATTTTAAAGAAAGCACGAACGAGCAGCAGATGCCTTTTGTCCTCTCAGATTCTGCACAGCCACATCTGTTATGGATTGTTTCGTACGCAGTGACCTTCAAGCATACTTAGAAAAGGGAAGAAAAGAGATAAAACGTCTCATCTCTTTTTCTTTACGCAGATTTTTTTTTCTTTCATTTTTTTCATGAGAAGGTGATGCCGACAAATCACCCCTGCCATCCTACTCCAATCAGCTGGAACATTACTAAAGATCACCCACAGGCCCCTGCTCTGAATACTTATACAGAAAAGAGGAGGTAAAAAGGCTCTGTGAGAAGTTTTGAGCTGGTTATGAAAAGCAAATGAGACCACAAAAAAACAAGACTGGCTGTTGTTATACTTCAGTTTCTATGCCTGTAAGAGAGAAGGGGTCAGATAAGACAATTCAATCCGCCCTTAAGAAAACAACCGATGCTCACAATGAGTCATGCATTTGACTAGTGGTGCAACGGATCACAACACTCACGGATCGGATCGTTCCTCGGATCAAGAGTCACGGATCGGATCATTTTTCAGATCAGCAAAAAGCAGTTTTGTCTGTATATTAAACACTTAAATGGTTGAATTAAAATATATAAAAGTAGTGCATACGGCATAATATCTTCTTTTCAACATAATTATTAATGAAAAACAACTTAAAGTGCAATATATAGGCATATCTCCTTCCTTTAAAATGTAACAATGAACCAAAAATGAAGTATGTGCGCGGTGGGATATTGTAACGTGGCTCAAGCACTTTCAGCATGTTTTTAAAGCCCTCGTTTGCACAACTGAATATGGCCTCATGTCTGTAGCTATAAACACACCGATAGCGTTTGTGATAGCTTTAACCCGGTCGGATTGCGCAGGAAGAGGCTGCTTAAATGCTGCGGTGATGAGCGGTTGCTGGCCAGCTTTCGTTTTATCTCAGGTGTTGTGACATAGAATGCACCCCTGCCGTAGAATGCACCCCCTGACGGGAGTGCGGTTTAAAGTAGATAACGAGGCGAAATAATCCAAGTTTTTCTTACATTGGATGGATTCAAAAGCGTTTGCCTGTAATAATTTCATTCAGGCTATTCAAAGAAGCCAAAAACAACAGCCCTTGGAATATTGCTGTCCCGAAAATATAATGCTCTCTACCTGGACAGCTTTCTGCACAGTTTATACCCAAGTACACCTCTATATTTGCATTTTTGAGACACATAAAAAGAAAATGAAAGTTTGCTGCTCCATTTGACATGTTGTCATGATCTAATACTCGTGTTTCTTTAAATATGAGATCATTATCTCCACTTTAAGAAGCTAACGAGTGGAGGGGATGCAGGGGTGCGTTCTACGGCAGGGGTGCAGTCTACGGCACAACACCTGTCATTAAAACACCCGGGTGATGTCGCTTTCAAATGCGTGAACATGCTCGATGTGTTTCCACTGTCATATGGCTTTCTTATGCCACAGTGCCTACACACCTTCGCAGTTTTGTCCACTGACCTCTTTCCTTCCTCATCATAGTTGACAGGGAAGCCAAATTTTTTTTTTCAGAAATCGAACCGCGGGTAACGTGTGTGCCGAACCGATGACGTCGATCCGAACGGATCACGGATCAATGATGATCCGTTGCACCACTACATTTGACCAATACACCAAAGCGGAAAGAGATTTCTAATGTCATAAAGTAATACTTATATGAAGGATGAATTCTGCAGAGATTTAAGAGCTTCATGTTCAGTAAAGCAGGCATGTGTGTGTGTGTTTGTCAGGCAGTCATTTGCGTAGCGGCTTGAACTGGAAAAAAGTTCTGGTCCTAGAGGTGGAGCTCAAGTTTTTTTTAAGCTGGGGCATTGACCTTTGTAGGGGTATGTAGGAGTGAAAAACAAAAGGGGCTTACCCCAAACTAAGAAGGTCTATCTATCTATCCACAAATTACATCAGCTTTTAGTTCTACATTTAAAAGAATATGTATGTTTATTTTTGTTTAATATTGTACTCTAAAAAGTAACTAAATAGGAGTGGGGACATTTGAAGTTTTTAACTGATGAGAAACAATCTCAGACTGTCGATGGTGCCTCTATTTGACCTTCAAAAGCAAACAAGACCATCAGAAACAAACTTGTAGGAAATCTTAGAGCATAAAAAGATGTGAAGATAGTAGGTTTCAGATCCGATAATTGACAGCTGGCTGTAAAGACAGCCTGTTTTGACTTTCCACACCGCAGTGCGTGATACATGTTTATAGTTAAAAGACAACAGGATGAGGTTTTTGTCTAAAAAGACGACAAGCCAATAGACTACAACTTTGTCCACAGGGGGCGCCAAAATCAACACTTATCAAACTTTCCTCATGGCAGCTTTGAATCTGCTGAACTTCATTCTGTAAGGACTCAAAAAGAGGACGTTTGTTCAAAGTCTCCATGTTAAATGCCACCTGCAGAAATCTCCCACATTGCATTGCAAAAAGAAGTTACTTGCTGCTGTTCAAACAAAACCAAAACTGTTGATTACAACATTTCTCTAACAAGAAAAGTAGCCAATCTTGGTTTGGGGTTTTGGGTAGGCTATGGCTATCACAACCCCAACTTACGATGGCCCTGTAGGTCAGCAACACAAAAAATTCTCAAAACAAAAAAATGTATTTAGGAACCTCGTTGTGGACAAAGCGGTTTTAGCTCCCCTTTTCCACTACACACTACAGTGTCATCTGACAAATGAAAAATCAAAAACATTTTTCTGACTTTTAACCATTAAATATATCAAAGATTTTTTTATGTTAGATCAAAAATGAAAAAAGGAGCAGTTACTTTAGGGAGGCTCAGCTGCCTCCATACTCTAGAACCTGGCACTGTTAAATATTTTTTCTAGTATTCTAGTAAGTTTTTGTACATCAGAAAGAGGAATTAGTTTGAATTTCAATCAGTTTAGATAATGACAAAAATCTCCTTTTTTTTAGGGATGTTATGAAATTGGCTCACGTCGTGTTGTGTGAAACTGTTTTGCATTGTGTGATTTTTTTCTAGTTTTCATGAGGAAAAGTTTTGAATTTAGTGAAATATTTTACGTGTTATAAAATGTATGTGCAGTTGGCCTTCAGGACCACCATCTAAAGAAAGACCTCAACAAATCTGTGCATCCACTAGATACATACATATACTGGGGGAAAAACTGTACCAAGCAGGCAGCAGATGGTTCCACCCACTTGGACCTGATGTGGGATTTAATGACCTTCACAGCATTGAAGAAACAATCTCCGACTGTTTTTCAAGAGGCGAGCACCAATAAATCCCCCGAAGAAACAAACAAAAAAATAACCTGAGGGTGGGTGGGCGTGGGTGGTGTTGGAGGAGGAGGGTGGGGATGGAGGACATCGTCCACAGGGACGAGACAATGGAGGGGTTCATTGACAGATTCTGTCTTGTGTCCCAGCAGAGGTGTCAGCTTCATGGCATTGTGTTTAGCCCCCTGGCAGCATGACCTTGTCTCACTGAACAGTGGCTATTAATTAGCCGAGCATGTGTGTGTGTGTGTGTGTGTGTGTGTGTGTGTGTGTGTGTGTGTGTGTGTGTGTGTGTGTGTGTGTGTGTGTGTGTGTGTGTGTGTGTGTGGAGGTTGATGGGTAGTAGGTGGGTGGCTGCAGGGAGAGGGTGTGAGTGTCATTGGTTCGCAGTGAGTCTGCCTGCCTGCCTGGCTGTCTGTGTACGATCAATGAGCTGGAGGAAGGTGAGGAGGAAGGGCGGGAAGGGCGGATGGTGCTTTGGAGATGAGGCATGCCTGCGAGGGCATTTTCCATGACATTAAAGAGCTCTGTGAGCTATACGTTTCGTCCACGCTCCCCCTGTCTCCACTTCCCTCCCTGTGCGGCATCGCCTCCCTGTGTTTCTGCTTCATAGATGATGATGTGCTTTGCTGGGCTTCATAGCTCCTCTTACTGTTTCCTTGCCTGCGTGTGTGTGTGTGTCTGTGTGTGTGCACTCCAGTCTTTCTCTGCCCTTGGCCGAGACTCCAGAAAACATGAAGTCATGCTGGGCGGACTCCATGAGCAAGTGATTTCTCTCTGCTTTGCTCCGATCGACATCCAGCCAGCCACAAAAAGCCTGCCATCTCTTTGCTCTGCCCCCCCTCCTCCTCAGCTTTCACTCCCCCTCTAACCACCCTCACTCAAAACTCCCCCTTTTTTTCTCACTTTAACCTTCCTTTATCCTGATTCATAGTCGTAATCCCTCCTTCAGAACCAACTTCAACCTTTTCTCTGACTGCTCTCCTCTTTTCCCAGAACCGTCCCTGTCGCCTTTTCTGTCTCTTTGTCCTTGTCAAACTTGAGTTCAAACCGCAGTTTTCAACTAAAAAAATCAACACTTTTCACATAAATTCGACTCAGGTGTTATTAATCAATTGTAACAATAGGTATATGGAAAGTAGCAGCTTGAATAGAAATCAAACTGAAATCTCTCGGGCCAGTTTCAACTCCATTGAGCGGCAGACATGCTAGAATAAATCTATCTCCAACTGCATGATCCAGGTATGGTAGTCCAACTATGAGAAGTGAAAGTTTAACGTGATTTTAGTCAAACTTTTGTGTCTGTATACCTTTTGAAAGCCCAGTTTCAGTTGGACAAAGTGCATGTATAAACTCCTACCAACTTGTAGTCGATAGAGTTGTTAAAGGTAGACTGAACCGTTTTAAGAACTCACTCTTGCCCACCTCAATTAGGTTTTTGAATTATCTTTCCTAATATATAGTAGGATCGTGCAATAATGTCATGGTGTTATCTTGTCATTTTCTTTTTGGTCGTGTTTGCCTTGTCTCACCCTGCTGGGTCTTGTTCTTTGTCATTGTTGTCTATTGTCGGTGTGTTTCTTTTGACCATTTCTGTGGGATTCTTGTGCAATGTGTGTATGTGCCTTGTGCGTGGGTTGTGTGACTGTGTCTATGTTAGGTCTGGTACTTTGCGTCATCAGTTGGCAGCTTTACCTGTGCAGCTCTTGGAGTCCAAGACAAATTTCCAAGACATCTAAAGTGTATCGTATCGTATCATACCATATCCTATTGTGTCATATAGTATCATATCTTATTGTATTATACCGTATCCTATTGTATCGTATCGTATCATACCATATCCTATTGTATCATATTATATCGTATCATATCATACCATATCTTATTGTATCGCATCGTATTGTATTATCCCGTTTGTACCATATCCTATTTTATCGTATCATATTGTATCATAATGTATCATACCATATCCTATTGCCGGTGTGTTTCTTTTGACCATTTCTGTAGGATTCTTGTGCAATGTGTGTATGTGTCTTGTGCGTGGGTTGTGTGACTGTGTCTTTGTTAGGTTTTGTGTCATCAGTTGGCAACTTAACCTGTGCAGCTCTTGGAGTCCAAGACAAATTTCCAAGACAAATTAAGTGTATTTTATCATACCGTATCTTATTGTATTGTATCATATCATACCGTATTGTACCATATTGTATCTTGTTGTATCGTATCATACCGTATTGTATCGTATCGTATCATATTGTATCGTATCGTATCATATTGTATCGTGTATCATATATTGTATCGTATCGTATCGTATCGTATAGTATGTACCCACGTCGGGTCACAGATTATAGCAGTTTACAAAACAAGCACTTTTGACTTGCACTTTTTTCATTGTCAAACAAGAGCATTGACTGCTGTCTGGCTCAGAAGAGTTGAGGCGGACTCAGATCTTGTACGTTTTTTGGTTTATCGGATTTATTCCGATTGGAGGCTGGCACGTGTTCATCTGCATTTGCACTCACATGTCTTCTTGTTCAGCAGCAGCTCCTGCCTGCTGACTAAAGGGGCGCCACTTTTCAAGTGTGCATTGCAGGTATTTTTTGACATAATCAGAGACAATTGCAATGATCACAATGACTGTAAACTGAAACCTCCAGACACACCGAAAGGATCAGTATTGAGAACCCCTGAATTCTGAGGGGAATTGTAGATTAGCTTACACAGTAGCTTAAGTCTGTTCAATCACCCTCTAACCTTTCCTCCAGTGTGCTTAGCCGTTTAATGAGTCAACATTTTTAGCGTCATTGTTATATTCTTGTAATATGTGGGCCTGAATTAAGTCATTTAAGAGCCCAAATGACTGGAACACAACTCTGTTTGCCCACACTGTTGTTGTCTATTCTTTTGTTTCTTTGTTTTTCCCTGAGACTCACTGTGCTCTGTTCTTTCCCCTGGGCTGGGCTGTTAAAAATATCATCCCCCAAACTTGTATTCTGATTATACAGAAGGATCACATTGTGTTATTTCTTTACAAAATGTTGTTGTCCAACCAGCGACTCAAAGAAAACTCTAATCAAAGACATTGCGGTCTTTAGGGAGCCGCGAGCAGAGCTTTCCACTCTAGGTTTTGTTTGGATTTCAGAGCCTATCCTTCATTTCAACCCTCATCCCCACACCTTCACACACGGAAACACACTCTCCTCTCAGTTTCCACTGCCAGAGAAGCTGGTCGGTAACCAGCATGCTGCAGGACGACCATTACCACCCGCCTGCCTCCCTGCCAGCCTGCTGCAGCACGACAGCTGCTACGATAAAACAGCACACCTCATCCAGAGAAGGGCTTCATGCTGGAAGCTCAGCTAAGGCTAGCTTTGCATCAGTGTGTGCTTGTGTGTGTTGGTAGATGTCCTTCAGCACTAAGAGCATTGGAGGGAGATGTAAAGAATGCTAATGAAGTGAATCACCAGAGTAAGGACTGACTTGGCCAGCCTAGAGTAGATGCACTGTATCTGTTTGTATGCGTGTGTGTGTGCGTGAACGTGCTTTTCCATGCATTTGAGCACCCTAATGTTCGCTCTCTCTGAAGTCAAGTGAAGTGAGAGCAAGTGTGAAGTGGGCAAGCCAAGGTTAAGCACAGGAACACAGTGACGGGCCGTGCATTTTAATTGAGGCTTGAGCAAACACTTTGCAATTCCCCTAAATGCCCCCCTGTGATGGATGACAGGAACCAGTGTTGTCTATTTTTCTCCTCAAGAGGAACTTTTGTGCGAGTGGCAGTGTGTCTGGACACAAAAGAGCAGGCCAGCCAAAGTCCCCTGCTCTTTTAAGCTTTATTGACTCCTGGCACAACACAGCGAGGGAGAGCGTTAGAGGGAGAAAATGAGTTACCTTGGTGCACATCTCCGCTGCATCTGCTATGTGTGCCCACATGTGTGTTAGGAAGAGGAACCTGTCCACTATAACTCACCATTGTGCACCTGCTACTCGGATTTCACATTCCAGTAATATTGTTGAAAACCCAGCTGGATCCAGCAGCTGCTCCATCCTTACAAACTTTTTCTTACAGTCTTCAACTTTTGCAAAAGAATAAAATAAACTTCCCAAACTTTCCAGTTTCTAACTTTATCATGATGCTGGCAGGAAAAAAAAAAAAAGTTTAAGAATAAAAATCTAAAAGCATTAAAAGTCAGAATTTTCTCTCTCATCTCAAATACATTAAGCACTAAATATCTACTCAGTCTGGTTGTCTGAAATCCCTCAGTTGTTTACTCACTCATGTTTCATACAAAAGAAACAGTAATGAGCAAAAACACAATACCTAATTTACACCATCAGAGAGACTTCTTGAGTCAGAAAGACAAAGAACATCATTGTATTTGAGGACCATCAAAGTCTGCACTCAGCGAGCATCAAAATTATAATGAGGATAAAAAAAATGTGGTGAATAAGAAAAATATTCAGTGTGTGTTTTAGCAAGAATTACCGATAATTATGCCTCTCTTGCAGCTGTTCGATGCAACCATGTGTTCTTATATTCTTTTTTACTAAAGGTCTGATTCACCACATTTTCCTTTCTCTTTTAGGCTGGCTAACCTCCCCTTCAAAGAATAATGAAAATAAATAAATGACATCAATCAATCTAAAGGTAGCTGACAGAGAGCCACAACTGCATCAGAGTAGCGTAGAAAGAGATAATGTCAAGTGAACGGGTAGATATAATAACGACACTGACAAAAGTATTGTCCATTTCTTTTGGAGACTGTGTGAAAAGGAACATTTATGAATAATATCCATTTCTGACCTATCAATGAATTAGAAAGAGTGACAAAATAAACACTCAGACTTGCTTTTACTAAAGCGTTGCACTAAAGACATTTATTTCTGAGCTAACAGAAAAACTGACCGCTGTACTTGTATTTACCTAATAAAAATACCTTTAATTTTTGTTTTACAACATATAATGCATGGGGGGAAATGCGGAATTACTTGCATACAAAAATCTCCTTACTCCCAGTTTATTAAACCTCCCTAACTAAAGGGCAAGTGAACATTCAACTGGACATTTCAATTGGAGTTCATGTTGAACAAGGTGAACAGGATTTCTGCGGGACTATTGAGGATTACATCTCTGACCTTATCTAGCTCTCTTTCTACTCATTTTTTTGTCTGTTTTTGGATATAAATTTAGCACGTCACAGCTTTTAATACTTCTGCCACATCATTTTTTTTATACTTTCAGTTTTCAGTTAGGATCTGCAGTTTAGAAATGCGCTCACCAGCTCTGCTTGTTGCTTTCACTTGCTCCTCGTTCATCATTTTAATTTCACGTTTAGCTAAATTATGGACTTCTTATGAGTTGTTTCATTCCAGTGTATACAAACTGTCCAAAATAGTATAAGCCTGAAATCTTCATCTCCACATATGTGTATGAAGTAGTGGACTAAAAAGTGTGGAGTGCACTCGAGTCCTTTCAAGAAGGATTTAGCAGTAAAACAACATTGATTCCTTTTTCTATGAGCAGAAAGATTGAGGGGTAAAAACTATCTTTCTCTCTGGCTTTATCAGTCCATTTTCCTTTAATGTGGGTACCATGAGGACACTCCTCAGCGCTGTAAACTGCTGTGCGACAGCCGAGTCTGACCACTGGCTCCTGGTCTCCACAGGGGACTTGTAGTTGCTGCAATAACTCCACAACCTGTGCACTGCGCTGGGATGCTGCACAGCTCAACGAGCCTCTGCGGTGATGTTAGAGGAAGAGCGTTTTAATATGTCTGATGACTGAAAACAAAACATGGAGAAGGTGTGTGACTGTGTGTGGATGCTAATCTTGGGAATATATCTTACCATGCTCACCACAGTGGGTTTTAAAAAGTGTCAGGTACTGAGAGATGGCACTGAAGGTTTCAGTACAACAAATCTTGCTCCTGTCTTCTTCAGAAGAGAATTTAATTGAATCTTTAAACTGAATCTTTAAAATGAATTTTGATGTATTTAGACAAAGCTCTAAGATACTTCACTCTATGTGTGCATGAACATGTATGTTACTGTAAGTTAATGCAAATCGCTGCAGACCTCCTTCATCCTCTGCATGGAAATCCAGGTATAGAAAGGCACATATGGTCCCATGTACCGCATACATGACTTGAATGTTCTGTATGTTCCCTAGGTTGTTCTGTTGGGATGTAGATGAGCTCTGACAGGGGTTAGAATCTCTTCTGAGTGGGTGGAGAGGAAGAGGCAGCAGAGGTGGACTAAAAGAAAGGAAATTCTATGTGCACCTGAATACTCATACTTATTACCCATACTTAGGGGGGAATTGAAAAACACAAGCCAAAGGGCATAAGATTCAATTTGTGACTTTTTTTTTTTTTTAATCTCAAGTCTGATTTAAAGTATAACATAGCTGTAAACTTCATACATGTATTTATAAACTGAAACAAAATTGGTTTGCTCTCTTTGGGGAAGGTTGTTAGTCTTGTAAAATATTAGAGCTTGTCATCTGCATACGGACTGATCTTAGGGTGGATGTCTTTTGTTTGGATTCCAGAAGCTGCAAAGAGCTCAGTGAAAGTAACCAAAAGTAGTCCAGGGAGTAGACATCTTTGTCTTGTGCCTAGCTGAAGTATGAAACACTCAGAGGTTTTATTATTGATGAGAACAACGGTAGAGTGTGGGTTATTTAGTGTCAAAATGTGGTGTGGAAAATCTTGCTTTGTCATAAGCTATTTTGGCATCTAGTGATGGTATTAACTTGTTATTTTTGGATGTGTTGATCAAACTGAATAAGTGGTGTGTGTTCATGACTGAATGTCTACCCTCCAAGAATTGGTTGACCATATTCTGAGTCCCCAAAAGGAGGACACAACGATGCGGGGGTGAGTCATGGAGTTTGGTGTAGTTAATTTTGATAGTTTTTGGGGTTGGATCGAGTGTTTTTTTATGCACTTCAAACTCAGTTAGTCCACGCGACACAAACTCTAAACTTCCATACAAAACCCCGGACATTTGAATGATTTTATAAACTCCCCCAGTCAGGCCGGACAACACCCAAAAATGAGGACATATCCGGGTAAAGGAGGACGAATGGTCACTCTATCCATGGAACCTCTTATCTGGATGTATTGTCTGATTTGGTCTGTCTGAACCAAAGTCGTGCTCATTTTGAAACGATGAACTTCTTGGTTCATGAATCAGTCCAGAGCAAACAAAGCACAGGTGGGAAGACACCCTCAAACTTTAAGACAGTCAACAGGTTTTTTGGTACTTTTAAGGACACTTTTGTACAAAGTGACATTCAGATGTCTCTTAGTTCCTTACACAGCGGCTGGCTCTGTCATTGTTTTTATCTGTAGTCCCAAGCTTTCTTCTTTTGACAACCCAAAAGCTTTAGGTTTAAAATGCAAACCTCCCTGTCACAACAGCCACTTTGCTTTATTCTCTTTTTCTTTTTTCAGAGCCCGCTCGACAGCAGGGCTGACACAGCAATGTTAGAACGCTCAATCTCAAACTTAAAACTCTCCTTTGAGCACAATCGCTTTCTTTCACAAACTCTTGTTGGGAGGGAGATCATCAGCTAAATGCTTCTGGTTTTAATATTTATGTCGGAAAAAAAAACTGAGAGTAGAACAATGTATTGTTCTGTGGTGAAGATGTCCCCCTGACACCATCACAGCGTCCTTCCCTCCCTCTCTTCCTCTTCCTATTGTGCTATTCTTTCCTCCTGGCTAAACAGTAGGCCTCTGTTCATCTCTCTTCCTCTTCTCTTTTGCTGACTGGTTGCCATGCAGTGGGCTGTCCATCACTGACCCGGTAACTGTTGCTAGGAGAGCAGTGTAATTTCATCGTCGGTGCTTAATTCCTCTCCAATTTATGCGCTCTCTTCACTCCATATTCCTCCTCTTTGGGCTTCTCCTTCACCCCCTCTCCAGCTCACTTTAAGCTCATCTCGGTGCTTTTATCCCCTTCTTATCCTCCTCCTCCTGCCATTCTCATCTGTCATTCCTCTCCTTCCTCATCTCAGCCAATGTCCTTCACCTCTGTTTTCAATCCACCCGCCGTCTCTCTTTGCTAGCACTGATTTAAACATTGTTATTCTCCCGGTGGAAGCCCATAGAAGACCCCCCCGTCTCCCTGAAAAACACTGAGCGCTGCTGTTCGCTTTAATGGGGCATCAGCTCTGGATATATAAAGGCGGTAAAATGGCCGGACACGTCTGAACAACCACTACCGAGACGTGATGGTGACGTGGGGGGGGTGAGGGGTTGGGGAGATAGGGTTGGGGTTCCCCTGGGATGAAGAGGGGGAATAAAAACAGAGGTTAGATGAAGGCTATGCGCTAAAAACTTTACTTTTTTGGCTTTAACTTTTAAAATAAACGGTAACTCTACCTCTTGGAGACGAGATATTACAATCCACAAATTAAAATCAACATTTGGAAGAAGGTATGCTGGAAATTGTCTCTATGACAGTGGAAGCAATGGTGATTGTAAATAGAGTGTAATACTTGGAATTATGATTTGACACTCAGTGCTCTCAAGACTTGGTTGGAGTGTGTTCACGTGCCAAAAAGCCCCAACACACCCAAATGTAGGGCTGTAGTCAACCAAAGAAATTCTTGGACGACTAAAACCCTGAAATTTACGAAGCTGACGGCAAACCCTTCTGTGGTGGCGGATGATACGGCTAAAAAATATTCAGCAAACCACCAGACGTAGATTGTTGTGAATCTTCCTGTCTCCAGCCGGTCTCCGGTGGGTTGGGTGAATCTAAAATGGTTAAAACAAGGGAGTGTTCTGAGACAGGCTGTTAGCTGTGAAACGGGGTTGCTCTGAAAACACACCCATTAGCACTTGGTACGTTCCTCCTAATAAAATTAACCATAGACTGTAAATTGATGTGGAAAAAAAACGAGTTGACCAATCAGAACTTTGGTCGACTCAGGGCGTATCAACCAGTAAGTCGACCAGTCGACTAGGACCTTACAGTCCTTCCCAAGTGTACGTAAAAGAAATACTAAAAATGTAGATGTAAAAGTTCACAAACTGTAGAGTCTCCTGCTTCTAAGCCCAGATTCTGGCTGAAGAAACCATGAGTCGACTCTGTAAATGTGGTAAATAGTGGACT